AATTAGTTTTCACAACCCTTCTGTGAATCCAAAAAAACAATTGGTGCATGAGCTTACGCTTCCTTTCCCCGCCCCGCCCCGCCCCATACACACCCACACCGTGTCACGAGTAATCTCGATGACCACATGAGTGAAGAAAAAATATGTGATCACGGTGAACCCGATTTCAGATCTCATGATCAACACCAACCTCAAGATACGTGATGTGATCTTATTTTATTTTATTTTCCCAAGACAATTTTACTCCCCATTTGGATGTATGTATGTATCTACATATGTATGTATATATGCATGTATGTATGTATGTATGTATGTATGTATGTATGTATGTATGTATAGGAGCGAAGCATTCAATGAATGAACTTCGTGGGCATCAATTATTTGACTCAAACTGGGTAAGGAAGTCATCGTATGATGTAGGCATCATTTCTTTTCAAAGAAAATTTCTCATTTAATTAAACTTTCAAAAAATCTACAAACGTTCCCCGGGTGAATGAGAAATAGTTTTTGTGAGATCTAAATAGTAAAACACTAATGACTGAATTATTTACTAAATTAATTATTGTGTTGTTGTATTTTCTTCCGCCCCATCCCAAAATATCCATATTCAGTCAGTCTTCTGTGCACTGATCGCACGGGATCCACGAGACGGCGAATGGTGATGCAAAGTGCAACGAACGTGCTGAGAGCAATCAGTTTGCTCTGTTTTATGTGGGAAATAACCGGTTTGAATTCACACGAAACGATGGGTCAGAGTTTGGTTAGATAGAGAGAGAGCCGAGCAGATACAGAGATAAAAAAGTGAAGCGTCCATCTGCAAACGGAACAGTTTTAAAGGGAAAGAATGAGGAAATGAATTTCATCAATTGGAGATGCTCTGTCTCATAAATTTATGTCCTTTTTTCATGTTTGGTAATGGCTTCATATCAGATCTAATCTGTCTGTTTTTCAAACAAGCAGCGGAAATTCGTAACTAACCGGAAAAGCACATGTGTAGTTTGTATCCAATGGCTTAACAAGTTGAAACACACTACACCTGTCCAAAAATATTCAGTGTTTCTACAGAGTAGAATAAACTCTGAAGGGATCTACACCAATAAAAAACTGGAAATTTGTAATGAGCTCTAAAGAAGTCGTGGTTAACGAAAAAGCGATGCGCATTGTATGAATCAAAGTTGACCGTTTGCTAACTATTTGATGCTCCCAATTTTGGGGATCCGTGTCTATTTCGGGTGCAGTGCTCTTATTTTCTGCAATGAGTCCTTTGTATTTATATTTATCTTTGTATAAAACAATAGTTTTGGTTTCCATTGTTGAAGTAATAGGAATCGCTCAATCTCAGGTGTTTGTGAATGGAGTACCGTTTAACGAATGCTGAGTTCCGGGACTCTTCCAGATGATCATCTAGGGCAGGAATTGTGGTTTTCTCACCTGAGACGCTATCCACCTCATGTACAGTGGGCGTTTTTTTGCTAGCCAAAATTTCTTTCTGCGCATGTAATTCTTGGCTTCCATTTTTGCAAATATTGGTCAAACGGTTACGTAATTGGATCAATATTTACACTATGTTTCATTTGCAAGCTTATTGATCGTATAATTGACGAGTTAGGAATGATTTGCGCCGAACTTATTTCTAACGAAACTGAGTATTTTCAAGTTTGTGTTTCTACTAGAATGCGTTAGCTTGGTTAAAAAGGACTTTTTTTACCCCCTTCTCACTCAATAATGTTGGAAAACAAGTACAGTTTTTGATTAGTTCTATTTAGTGGTTTAGTAAAAATGAAATTATGGTAATTATCTAATTGAGTTGGTCTAAGCAGATGAGTTCAGACCACTGGCTAAAGTGGATGTAGATGTAGTAAACACAAATCACTATATTGTATTCCACACATGTCTGCGTTAATACTGTGTGCCAAACAAATAACTACCTCCTTCTGAACTACCATCACCATATTTATCCTCATTATGATCATTATCACCGTCGTCGTCGTCGTCGTCGTCATCATGATCATGATGATCATCATCGTCACCCCAATCTGCCATTTATTGATAGTGTTTCGACCTGCATTAAACTGATTGTTTGCTGCTTTTAATACTCAGATGTATAATTTTACATTCACTAATAACAGAGGTGAAACACCATAAGTTATTTTTTCGACAAACTCAAAGTTACCAGACAGTTACCCGGTGACGATTCTGAAAAATTAATCGCCACCTACCGTGTCAATTCATCTCCGTGAGTTTGCGGAGAACTGGATTGGCCACCGTTTTGAGAGAGATTAATAGGCACAGCGGGAGTCGTACTGGTTCCGGGTTTGGTCATGCGAATTCGTTGCAATCCGACTGCTGCCCGCGGGAAATTTGTATCGCTTGGTGGTGATTTAGACGCCCGAAGTCTCATAGACGCAACCGTTCGTGTGGGTGCCGACAAACGTGTTTCTTGCCGTACCGCTGTGGGGGTGATAGTCTGTCGTTCAGGAACGGGAACGTGTGAAACTTTTTCCACTTCGGTGCGGCTTTCCTCGGCCGGTTCCTCTGTAGACCTCTGAGAAAGACTTCCACTGTCAAACATTTTTACACGATCCTCGACTGGAACAATCTCTTGACAATCCATAAGATCTTGATCGATAAATCCACACGTAGAATATCGATGAGTATCATTCAGCTCTCTTTCTCGGCCTTCAATCCACTGACGGGCACGTTCTGCCACGGACATTATGGTCGGATCTCGTTGGGTTCTATGCGGGATCCCGTCCGATCCTTCATGAGGTAATACTGGCAAATTTTCATTTGATTCCGCAGCAAAAGTCACAGCACGCCTTAAAATTGGATTGGCTCGTTTTTCGACTCCAATAGGTTTCACATTTCGTGTAGTGCTTCCCGCTTTTGGGTCTGAACGAGTCATATATACAGGTTCTTTTCTATCCTGTTCCACGGACGTTAGCGGACGATATGCACTAAGGGGTCGTGTGCCACGTTCCTTCTTCATCTTTTCGTAATACGCACTGATGGAAATAGGCTCGCGACGGCGCCCAATTGTGTCACAATCATCAGCACCCCAAGCCTCATCAGGTGATTTCATCGGATTCTGCACGTCGGATACTCTCCTCCGACTTTGTTCCAAAAACGCTTCCACATTCAATTTACGCGGTTCCCGCAAAGTTGTGTGACGAAGCTCTTCACTCGTTGAACTACTTTCTAGCAAATCTGGTTTGGCCAGTTTTCGTACTGTGCGAGGTGGGTGTCCGATCCGGGGAACATTATTCACTTCCTCATCCTCTTGTGTCTTTGTTTGGACTTTGGTCAATGTACTTTTGCCATTTGCCATCATTGTGCTATGTCTGGCACGAGTGATCACATCAGGATGAGCAGTGACTGATGGTCTTGGTTCCGATTGTTGAGGTGTATTAGCCTCGGTAGATCGGTTGTATACTGTTTGAACCTCATTTGCCACAGAACTTGTTTTTTGACTTCCCTTATTTGCCCGTTCGGAACTTTTTATCGGTTCTGATGTAGTGCACGTGGTCTTACTCACATCTACTTCCGGTTGCTCAAAGCTGGAGGAATAGTGACCACTCGAGGGATTCCTAACCCGAAGGTGGCCTAGATTAGAGTGTGATGCGGACTGAGTTGGAACTTCTTGTTGTTTTATTCGTTGTTGGTGTTGTTTGTGCTGTTCTGATTGCCTAGAAGGTTGGGTTTCTTTTTGCGGTTGTTGTGGCTGTTGCTTTGGTGCTGCTGGCTGCGTTTGTTGTTGTTGCTGTTGTTGTTGTAGCTCTTGCTCCTGCTGCTGTGATAGAGATAATGTTTGTATTTGCTGTTGTTGTTGTTGATCGTGTGGTAGCTGCGCAACAGATGGTTGTAAAAGGGGCTGTGGTTGTTGAGTGATTAGCAGTGGCTGGAACAGGTTATGCGGAGCCAGACTGCCCGAAAGTAAAGCTCTTAAAGTGGCCGGATCTGCGGCCACTATAGCGATTTGGGGTTGAATTTGAGCTGTTGCGGGAATAGTTGCCACATTAGGACCGACAGCGGGATTAGCCATAAGGGAATAAGCTGGGGAAGCCATTAGCTGGGTCGGGAAACCACCGATCGTTCCGGAATAGTTTGCTTGATGACTCCCTGGCGCTGTCCATTGACTTGATGTCCCACCCACAATGACAGTTGGTGGTGTTGTAGCTGCTTGATTGACATCATATGGGTGAATCCGTGGGTAGACGACCGTGTCCCGGGCCAAGCTACCAGTGGTATTCGCGTTATTCAGAAGAAAATATGCAGGCGTTTGAATGGAAGTAGTGCCGAATGAAAATGGCTCCTGCGACTTAAAACTGGGTAGTTGTTGTTGATGCTGTGGTTGTTGTTGCTGTTGGTAGTGGTGATGCTGCTGCTGCTGCAGATGTGGTGGTGTTTGAATCGGCTGTTGCTGCTGCAGTTGATATTGGTGAGAATGTTGTTGATTGGATGGTACCTGCATAGGCACCTGCGATTGTTGTGCGTGGGTTGCGTCCAACTGTGTTCCCCAAGCAGGAGTCACATAGTCCTGATCATACCCTGGATCTGGATGCAGTTTCAAATTGAGAATGGATTTCTCCAAATTGCGCGTATGCTCCCCTTCGTTTGACTGAGTGGGATAACCTAAAATGAAGGCCAAAATAAACAAGTGAATCTGATTGAAGGTCAATATAGAGTACAAAACATTCTAATAAACTTCTAAAAGTACTTCTATGATGTGACATTGTACGCGTGTAATGTTGCTTCTCAAACACCACAAATTGCCAACTGTTGGATGAGTACCCAGGAAGATTAAAGGAGCTGATCAATTTCCTCATCAATTGTTCAGTCTAAAAAGGCCAGGTGGCTATTTGGTCAGTTGACCGAATTTACAGACAATTGAGTGCTACTTATGCAGTCTGCCGACATACATGACGAATGCTTGAACGGTTGGGCAATATGCAATAGAATTAAAACAATATAATCGTGGTTTATTCATACTCGAATTCGATGAAACTGGATCAAGCATCGAAATACTAATATCAGATTCCCATGTGATTCTCAGGTTCTTTTCGGACCCGATTGTTGTTCTATGAGTCCATTTGGTCAGAAGATAATGCTCTTTGTATTTTGAGACACTTGAGGTTGTGAGATTTCCCTTCAGGTGGTTGAGACACTACAAATGTTTGCACTTTTTATGAAACTCAGATGAAAAGGTTTCGTCCAGGATAAGGGAACTTTTGCTCTGTCCTTTTTTACTCATTTTGCTAGATCGGAAACACGGGAATTATTATTTCTTGACAAACAAAGTGTCAAAACCAATCGGGTGACTATGTTAGCATTTCCCCAGTAGGTGTGTTTAGAGAATGAATTAGTGAACTGTAGTAAGGCTTTTCTCTATTTAAATACAAAGGCCAGTTCAATTCCAATTAGTTGCTGTCACCTAGCAGTGTGTTACTCAGCTCCTAAAACAATCGGTGAATGTTGAGGGAACATCGTTTCTCGTTCCATCGATATGTTCAAATTTCGAATCTTCTGTTATTATCAGGTCAGGTAACTTTATCAAATGGACTTTGTTTAAAACAGATTATTTCAAAGTTTTTCTCTGTATACTGGTAATCCATGATACAGCGTATATCTGATTTCTGGTGTTGGCGGTGTGGTAGTGGGAGAAGAAGGCAAGAAAACGAGGTCACAAGTATCAGAAGGGCCGATGCATTGAACTGAGGCTAATGTCACAATATGGCAGACACAACGTAACGCACCCAGTATTGTTCGCTATTCTCATTAGGACTCACAAAAGCTACCAATCCGGTGAACTTTCTGATGTGTACAAACTAGTATACCGATATTTTCAAAAATCACTAACTAAAATATCGAGCTTTCAACCACCGGGTACGACTGAGATAACACAATACCTACTAAGATCAAAGTTTATTGATGTGTGAGGTGATCTAACACAACACCCACCCATGCTGTGACACTAATGCGGTTCATTTCCTGTAAGCTCTAGCTGTATGGTTCACTTTTTGTGGATGATAACGTTGTTTCGTGAAACACTTGCAAACTTGATGATACGTCATTTTGAACAGAGAATCTTTGTTCCACTAATTAGATGTTTAATGTGATTTCACTTTTATTCAACCATGTTCACCACCTGCCTTGGACAAAAATGATCAATGGACTCAAAATGACGCTCCTCGACTGACCAACCCAGTGCATATTGCTGAATGTCATGCGAATTTACCACACTACCTTGATTTTCTTTTTTCATTTTGCTGCGAAAAACCCTAACTGTTTAAGACCGATCGATGTGATGGCCCACCATCATTTTCACCCTCTCTGTAGTGGTTGTAGTAGCAGTAGTAGTAATAGTAGTACGTACTGAACTCGGAATACGAACCACGCAATACGAATCACGTAATGGGAATCAAGGATTAGCGATCACGAACTGGATCACGTAAGCACTGAACCGCACTGGCACTAGTATGCAGTATCCCACGTAAGTGAGACGCGAGGAAAAGACCACAGGAGTAGCAGTTCGTTTATTGGAAGAAATAAAGAGGATTAAATAATATGTACAAAGTACGCTCATTAGTTATCCAGGCTCCTACCGATCGCGTTCCAGTATTGCTTGCATCGTTCTACTGTTGTCTTGGCCGCACGGTCTCTGATTGGCTGGTACGATCCACTTATGGTAAACAGTCAAAAGCAGTGACACGTAAGCGCGTTGTTGACGTCACCCGTGAAGTTTGATTGATCGCAGTTGTCCAAAAACTGTAACGCGTCGCTCAAGGGTACGCGTCATCTCGTAGGCCCGGCTCACTCCCCCCCAGACACACGTGCGAAGACGCACACACATAAACGCACACAGATTCAAGTTTCGTCTGTCACATGACCTGTTTCGTTTGACTGACGACCGACCGTCCTATAATTTGTCGTGTCATAGAGTTGCATTTCCTAACCTCTCCAGTGACTGTCATCGGTCCTCTGGTTTGCCAGTTTGCTTTTTCAGTGACAGAACCAGTAGTCTGTTCATTTGGTCTTTTGATTCACGCAGTCGTTGCCTGTATCTTCGTAAAATATCAAAACTTGAATATATATATATATATATACTAGCTGATGCGGTGATGAAACAATGTGAAGCCAAGGCATTTGAAGAATATTGCCGTCTTCTCTGGATTCCATATTCGGACAAAACCTTTGTGGTGCTACCGGCAGAAAGAATCGAGCAATTCTATGATGGCCTTAACAAGGTTATGCCAGGGACAGCATTCACCCCGAGGAGGAAAACGATATGAAGCTCCCTCTCTTGGAAGTCCTCGTCATCAGAAGAGCAGACGGAAGCACAAAAACCACTACGTACAGGAAATCCACAACAACCAATCAGGTGCTGAACTACGACAGCAATCACCCCACCTGTCATCTAAGGAGCTGGGTGTACACTTTATTCTGCTGTGCGGACACATATTGTAGCACGGAAGAACTCCAGCATCAAGAACACACGCATCTGCTCCAGTAAGTCTGTGAAAATGGATACCCCAGAAGTTTCGTCCAATCATGCATTAAGGGAAAAAGAAAACCGAATGATGAAGAGAAGAAAACGAAACTCTTATTACCAGACATAAGTGGGTTATCAGAAGCCGTCGGTCGCACCCATTGCTCTCTGAGTGTTACCATTGCCCACAAACCTACAACAACACTGCGGGTAATTCTTTTCAACGGCAAGGACTATGTAGAACCACACGACCAATCAGGGTTGGTGTACGCAATTCTGCGCCTAGGCTGTGACCAACGTTACGTAAGAAAGACAGGTAAACAACTGTGCACTCACCTGCATGAATACACACTTGCACTACGACACGCTAACTCGAAATCACACCTGTGGAACCACGGCGCAACGACAAGTCAGGAGGTCAGGAGGAATCAATGACACAAAAGGGCAAAGAGGAAGGGGGAACGTCTGATCCTTGAAGCGCTGCTTTCGATCAACTCATTCAATCGACACGTGGAAATCGATCAACATTATGCACCGATTGTACAACTGATGAGGAACGCAGGACTGATGAACAAATAGGCGCGACGTGAACCGCAGTGTGAGACACAAGTAGACCGAATTCATTCACACGTATTATCGTTTGACAACGAGTCTCAGTCAGCATCGAAACGTCACAATGAATACTGTCATTCAGTGCTCGCCTTCTCTTTCTCAAAAAGTATATATATATACTGCGGAATTCCTAACTTATTGGCTTCCCATGGCAAAAATGTTTTCCCCATAGTGAGGGGGCGAAAAGTCACGCGTTAGGTTCTAGAGCTACTAATCGAAAGTAAATCCAAGAGAGCAGAAAAAACATGATTCCAACCCTTGAAAATAAGAAGTACGAACTGGTTCCAGGACATCCTGGTAGCAAACGCATTTGAGATATTGGACAATTTGAGCAACTTATCCATGTGAAGCACGCGATAAAGTCTAATAATCCGACTAGTTGAAAGCAAGCCTCTAATGGCTGCATACTGGGCGTACTGGGTTTCGGCAAATGATAAGCTCCGATCAGGAACGTTTAAGGTAAATACCTAAGTCGCTTTAATTAACCCGGCGGTATGCCACTCTTTTATAATTAGGATTATTGTACTGCGGCTTTTTGGATATCTTTATTATGAACACTTGCATGTATATCGGACCACACTGTTTGACTGCGCCATTTAGCTCACAAAATGCTAGCAATTATACTCTGTTATTCTTCGCTTTCTCCGTAACCAAATCACTCCGATGACAGCAGTGACCAAACAGATTTGGATTACGACTTTCCTAAGCTGATTCCCTCCAAAACTTGTGCATCTAGGGGTGCTTAATGCTACTACGACCCCATGTCCTTGATTCGAACCTCATTGAAGCTGTCTGCAGTATGTTAACGGGGTGAAAACGGTATTCTATGTGGTTCATCAATCAAAAACATTTTGTTCCTCATGATTGAAAACAGTTTGAAGTTCACACAATCCGGATACCCGTTGAGAACATGCCTGAATGTTATGTTTTAAACTTGCATAGTAACGTTGGGTGTTTTCTTGAAACCATTGAAAGATTTTCATAAATTTATTGGGATTATGCTACCAGTGTTTCACAAACCCAGATTCATATTTTCTAAAATGAATCAGTTTAGCTAAGACCAAATCATAATCTGTCAATCTTTTGTACACAATAATGAGTTTTATCATCAACTCACCAGGTTATTTTTCGTTACCGAGAAATTGCACTTTAGAAATATGGTTGTTGAATTGTGTATTAGTTGCAGCCTGCACCCCAGCTGCAGCTGAAGGTCTGAAGAAATACATCAAAGCTTCAGGAAATCAATCATAAAACTAGCCAGCGCCCGGAGTATTTAAAAATGTTGATTTGCAACACAAAGAAAGCAGCTTTCGTAGCGGTTCCGCTGGACAGTTGGTCATCCACATTGTAGGACAAACTATTCCAACACCGAACTAAATTGAGGCTTCTCAGTAGTGAAAGACTGATTCCGCTTGAGGAAAAAATTAAACAAAGATTTTGATGAATTAGTTCACAAGATATAGAAAATTCATATTTGGTTCGTTAAAAAGTTTATATCCAGATTGATCTTGAAGATGTTAATTAGCTCTGTGCATAATGCGTTCTTACATCCGTTGACACGCCTTCATTTGAATCCTGAGTCCAGGACACAATATTTTGCTTATGCAATCGAAGTTACTGACGAATTTATCAGTAGTCAGAAACGTTCATCGTTTGTCCATAGTGTATTACGTGTTTGCAAAACATGTGAATCTATTATCGATGTGTTGTACACCTTAAAACTTCCCTCAGCGACGTAAAAGGAGTAGCAGCCTCGTAAACTGATATGTTTATTTGTGTAACCATATAAATACCTTGATGGCAGTGGTAAATTTAGGTGACGTACTTGTCGAAATTGTTGAGAAACTTGTTTCAGGGAGGTACATGGAGTCCGGTCGAGGAAGGTTCCTACCAGTTCGACGGAGGTGTTCTCCTTCGGCAGACCCACTTCGTGATTCTGGACGCATCCAACTGACACTCGAATGTGAATTTGGATCCGGTTCAATTGATTTCGGTCTCCTGTGTCCATCAAATGTCGGTTGTCTATGCAGCACTGCAGGTGACGGTCCTCGACCACCACTGGAATGGTCACGCTGCCATAGATCAGCATAGCCACGATTTTCTGGGGGATAGGGGCCGTATGTCGTAACGGAAGTCTTTGGGGAGTTGGCCTTCACAAGCTTACCAGAGTTAAGTTGTGCGGTCTCTGGTTTACCACGCACACCTTTGCTATAATCCTGCCCGAAAGTCGGAACCGCAGAGAAGTGACCTTGGCCGACTGGAAGTTTACCGATTCTGTCCAGAGCAGTAAACAAAAAATAATTTACTTTCTCAAAGAATAAAGAAGTTCGGAATGCGTAATGTAGGATGTGTCGATCAAAGCATTGCAAAATCGGGTTCCAATATCAGCAAATTCCTGAATTCTTACTTACGGAGATTTCACCTCTAAATATTTACCAATCAGGACAGTCAGAACACACAATTGTACTGATAATCTAAACATGGGTTGTCTGAACAGATTGTTTCACTTTTTCCATACAGTATTTATTACTTGTAACTATACAAATTGATTGCAGTATGATACCGAGTGTTATGACTATTTCGGAAGAACTCAGAAAGTGTCTACTGAAGGAACTATAGAAAAGAGAACTACCAAGAATGAACACAAATCTGGAAAAGAATGCAAATTTCCACGGCACCATCTGATGTCATGTTTCATCTGTTCACTTCGTACAGTTTGTTTACTTTTCATTCGAATGGACTGAAGCGTATTCATTGCATTTGCAGGATAATTTCGAATTTGTCTTTCATGAATCACAAACAGATAGCAGATTGTTCAGGTATGTGAGCATCGAGAGACTTGTTTTGAAACAGAAATACAATTTAGCAGATGAACCAAGGAACTTCTTGAATTATCAAGAGAATAAAACTCAGTAAGAGTCCTGATAAAGAATTTTATATATCTCAGAGGCTTATCGCAACTGGAATTGATTATTCATCAAATAACATCCACCTACAGGATCCCTAATGAAAATAAATTTGTTTATCATCAAATACAGACGAATATACAGCAATATATTATCTCTAATTTTAAGAGAGATTGAAAAGTAATTATTAATCGGTTTTGTACGTTTTTACTGGTTCTCTGTGTCCAGTTTTTTAATCCATCATCAGTTCAATATTTAAGAAAAGTAATTTTCCTCTTGAATATTATTTGCCTTGCACGTTGCTGCGACTAATCAGTGATTCGAATTTGTCTATGGGAATATCAACACGCTTATGATGAATGCTAAATTACCCACAATAATTCGTAATAGTTGCTGTTAACCTTACGAAAACGGTTCCGTAGGACTGACGGCCTTCACCCAACATACATACTACGATATCAACCGATTCCATCTGTTTGTCCAACCATGTGGTTCACTTTTGGCCTAGGGGTTACAACCTAGCTGAGACGAGGTTTTTTTTACAAATGGAGTACTGTTCGGTGCATCCCCATCTCAGTTTCCTCGCCGTGGATGTGATATTTTTTCTCATCCCGTGGAATCAATTTTGTGATAGACAAAACGTGAATGCTGCCTCGTCAGTGAGCTTATGTTCGATCGTGGAGTTCAAGATTAAGTTGTTTATGTACAATCTTGTTGACCACCTTGGTTAGTCCACTGAAACACTGTTCGGTCAGACAAAAATGTGGCTGTCCATTCAATATATTTTGTGAAATAGAACCGATGCATGTGTTGTGAGATACTACTCACTTTTGAGTAGTAGATAACATAGTTGGTGATTACTTTCGACGATCAAAAATTATGAAGACCACCGAGGGCAAATTGCTGCATATCAGAGAATAGCTTTTGATGGCTACGTTCATCACCCATCGTGCTGCCAGGAATTGTGATGTTATGTTTCTGATGAGATTTTCTGTATTATTTATGCCAAATTACTGAGGTCCCATCTTCGATTCCCGATAAAGCTCAATCCTCGACCACCACCGTCTTTTGGAATTACAACACACGGAGTAAACATAATTGCACATCAGCACAGAGAGGAGTTGATTCGATCACGAGCAAATTCACCGTGTGATAAGTTCAAAGACTGAAAAAGAGGGCAAATAGTCAAACATTCAGCTTTTGATTTGCAGTTGCCGCCAAAGACCGGTGGTAAACTAGTCTCTGAGCTTTGCTAATCCGCATTTCTTTGATTCGGCACGTGGAAATGACAAAAAGCGTAAAGAGAGATGTGTGCTAGCCACACACTTGGATTCTCAAGCTGACCATAGGACCGTTTCATAGTTTGATAAATCGGTAGTATTCACGATATAAAATTCCATGTTTCACCTCAGGCACTCGATTCAGAACAACTTATGCAGCCATGATTGTGATACACTTGAAAATGTCTCACTATGATCAACTGAAAAAAATTGCCCAGCTTAGATTGCCCGATACATCCCGAAATTGGATCGCTGCTTGAAGCAACAAGGTGATCCGTTTTGACAGTTTGTTACTTTTACGCTTACGAAAAACGCGTAAAACTTCGATTGTGAAATTTTGCTCAGTCTGAGTGGTGATTACGAATCGCGATTTTCAGTGATACGTGGTTACCTAATCTTATCACGTAATGTACCTGATAGAGTTTTTCTATTCAGATTTAGATACTTGGCAATAAAACGATCATTGTAGCACCGAAAATTTAACAAACACTGCGGGAAAAATCATCGTACTGTTTGTTCACACGTTGCTGAAAAGCGGAACAATATATTTACCACCATGTGGACGGCACTATAGACACCGAAATCTTCCAGATGTTGGATTACGTCATGTTGAAGCTTCAAATGGATGTCATGCTAAGTCACAGGAACGGGTGGAATGGAATCGGATGTGAAAAATCAGTACCACCTAGAACCAGCTGCGGTACGATGTGCACAATATGCTAACAGCCCTTAACCCCACAGTACTTTCGAACTGCAGATGTCATCAGTGCACCTTTCTTTCATACTGGGCTTTTTCAAACAATTGAGCTGACTAAACATCTGTCGTCCAATGTGATGCCGGGGTCCCAAACCTTGGTACGAGGGGAGAAACCGATTGCATTGGGTTAGGCAAGTTTTTGGTGACACAAATCAAAGGAGGTCCGTGGGATTAAACCCGATTACGAATTTACAGCCCCGTATGTCAAGCTCTCCTCTATTACTTGCAAATTATTTTTGCGAATAGCTGCAGTTAATTGCAGCAAACGATGAAATAAAATGTCAGGAAAGCTCTTCTTGAACGCCTGGTGCATGATATTTGTACAATTCTCTCCAAAGATGGAGTGAAATTTTGATAGAATCAGGCATACTTTACTGTGTGCGATAAGGGAACACTAAAATCATTTCAAAGGTGAATTTGTCCTGTACATAGTAAAGGAAGCGTGAACTGAAAAGCTGGGAAGCACTGAACAGCTGTTTCAACCTGATTGGGTCTCACCAGCAGTGCGAATCTATCGAACCAACTGGGGATCGAATCCGGGACCTCACAGGGCAGAACGCAAGCTTACTACCCACTCGGTCACCGGCCAGCTGATCAGACTGTTTTCATTTTCCATTTCACGATATAGCACAACCCATCATTGCGAGCTTATTGCGCATCACAGACCCTGCTCATCTCAGCACTAGCCTCTAGAGTTAAGACTCGGTTGGAAACTTTCACAACCTGTGAAATTTGAAGTTAAATAAAGTGTGAACTGAAAACTCGTGTAAACCGAAAATTAAAAAGCGGTTTGGTCAGCTGTCCGGTAGAGGAGTCAGTATCATGGCTGCGTTCTACTTATGAGGCCCCGTTTGATCCACAGTCGGGTCGATGGATTCACACTGTTCGTGAGACTTCATCAAGTCGAAACAGCTGTCTAGTGCTTCATTGCTTTTTAGTTCACGCTTCATTTCCTATATACACGACCAATTCACCTTTGAAATTGAATGGAATCCTCTACTACTGATTTGAAACTAAATCAGTGTTGATTTTTAGGGACTGGAAAATAAGTAACGTTTCCTTAGAGCACTCCAATCGACTGATCTGTGATTTAACACAATTGTATTTTATCATTAGCCCGTTAAGTACATCTTTCCTATAAGCTTAGGAGCAGCAGAAGGTATAAAACAGAACGTAGGCTAAATTATTGAAGCATACGAGAGTATTATAGCTCTAGGTCTGTTCATGTCCCATTCGTCTGTATCCGTTTTTGTGAACGGAGTAGAGTGCAGGCAAAACAGTGTAGTTCAATAGATTATATTTGCATACTCGCAGCTCACTAACCTACAGTAGAAAATGAAAAACGGAAGAAAAATAAATTCTGAAATTATCACTTCATGCAAAGACCAGTGGTAACTAATGGTAAGGTAAACTTTCCTAAAAGAAATGACAGGGTATAACTCAGAAATAATATGGAATAGCTTTCTCAATCATCTTCCATCGCAGCCCTTAGTCTGAGATGATGTACATAACCACCAAGTTGCAAGGAGTACGCAACCCAACTTGGTCAGAAGATCCGACCGATCTACTTTGTATTCCGAGTTAGAGATACAGTGTGAATTTTGAAGGCTACTACGATCAGCCATTGTCAATCATTTACTTTTGAATTAGTTCTCTTGAAATGTTTCATTTCCGAGTGATTTTTTCTTGCTGGCGATCGTAAAATTGAAAAATTCAGACATGGTTTGTTACAAGACAGTGTGCCATCCGAACGGTACTCAGCTCATTTGGGCTGTGCCGAAGTAGATCATACAACTGTCTAACAACTGTAGCATGAATACACATAAGATGAACAAACCAATGCCTTTGAAATTGACACCGATAGTTTGTGAATTCTGATGCATCGGTTGTCGGACATTTCAAATATCTCAGTCAGAGAGGCGCAGAAGTTATTGGATCAATAGAAACTGTTTGTCTTGGCTAATTTTCGGAGTTTGGGTCGATTATTGGAGCGTTTGTTGATTTCCAAGCGAGAGCCAAGCTGAGGCAAAAGACGATTCATGATTTTGCTGAAAGTACATCTTTGTAATCTGCAAAGTTTTTTCTTACAGTTCTGTGGGGCACTCGAATGTGGTCATTTTTTCTACAGTGGTCAGCACATCCACGGTCATTCGGTCTATCGATGGGCTCTGCCGCACTAAGGTGCAAATGGGTGAAGGATAAACGTGATTAACTGGTAAGCGGGTGTGTAGACTGAGGTGTCAGATCCGAGCGATCGATAACCGCCGTCNGGACGCGCCGGTGTGAATTAATGAACGATACTCTCACTTGTCCTAGAGCACCGATGGAATTAAACAAGTCACTTCCCAAAAGTCATCGTAACCCGAGTCCAAGGAAAGATGCACTTCTGTTGTTTATGATCTACATTACAGTTACAAAAGTGAACGAACAAATAGATGTCTATGGACGCTATTGGTACACATTTTTCACTAGAAAATCATGAATAGATTGAACAATCAGTTTGAATATGGGAAAGAAATCAATGTTCTGAGTATATTCC